GACGCCGCGCCGTCGCGTCACGTCGCATCGCCCAGGCAAATAAACATAAAGAAATCTTTTCGAAATTTCGTTCCGACAACCAGTATTTCATTTTGCCGATTGTAGTTTCTAGTAGGGAACATTCAAATCATTTATATAGGTTTTTTGAGTATTTATTCACGCCAAAGGTGCCTAATATTTGATCGTACCTTATACATAGCTTGAAAATAAAGTGGTTCAATTTAGAATAGATAAACTATACCTATATGTACTTACGCATCTGTATTAGGTGATCTGTGACATTACTTTGATTCGGCAAATCTTTAAAGTGCGTTTTTTTTTTAAAGATAAAAGTCAAACTGACATTAGGTTGGCAATACTGTAAAATTGTCAATGATATCAAATTTTTCATGTAGAAAAGGCTTGTGTTGCCAACATAGTTACTAAATTTTTGACTTGGGGAATTATCTTTAAAAAAACAAACAGATTTTAGCTGATTCTTTTTGAGCTCTCTTGACATGAAACTACTCCTAATGGAATGAGTAATTCCACATTCTTGATCAATCTCTCACAAAAAATGTGTTTTTTATTTAAAGATAATTCCCCAAGTCAAAAATTTAGTAACTATGTTGGCAACACAAGCCTTTTCTACATAAAAAATTTGAAAGCCTTGACAATTTCACATTGTATTGCCAACATAATGTCATTTTGACTTTTATCTTTTAAAAAAACAGACTTTATGAAGTAACAATACTACACAAATAAACTCCACCAAGTCCACCAGAACATAAATTAATAATTAAGTTCGTTTTTTTTTTTAAAGATAAAAGTCAAACTGACATTAGGTTGGCAATACAATGTAAAATTGTCAATGCTTTCAAATTTTTCATGTAGAAAAGGCTTGTGTTGCCAACATAGTTACTAAATTTTTGACTTGGGGAATTATCTTTAAAAAAAAAACAGATTTTACTAAGGACGGAAGAATATGAGAAATGTTGAAAAATAATAAAACTGGGGGGCCTGGGATCATCTTACTTCTGCTTATAATGAACCGCGCGTTCGGTCTTTTGATCTGAATTCTCCGAGCTTGAATTTACCGTTCGTTTATTTTAAAAGTGTACTCGGTGCAGGCTCATTCGCGTTCGTTTATTAAAATTTCGGGCACTCTGATACAGCGTTCAACTGCTCTGTTCCCTCGCTGGGTACGCGATTATGGCTCTGCTCAGCACGCTCTGCTCCTATTTGAGCAAAAAACCGAACGCAAGGATAAACATGCAACATATGGAAAATTTTCATGAGCCGTGGTCGTTTTTGTCATCTTTTTGGTAGATTTGCTCCCAAATTTTGACAGGCACGTGATTTGTAAATTGTAACTGTCTGATCCAATCACGTGTATGTCAAAATTTCGGAGCAAATCGACGAAAAAGATAACAAAAACGAAAACGGCCAATTATTGAAACTATTGACAGTAATGAAATTACCAGCCACGCCGTGACAACACAATAAGGCTGTGTTCTTTTTTCAACTGTCTGTACTGTATTTACTGGGAAGCGTTCCAAAATTAAAATGAAGTGTACTGATCAATGAACTATAACCAAAAACTGGAATTCGAACACATATTGACGATCGTGAAGCCTAGTGCAGCTGCTGCGGAGGGGATACCTGCTTTTGTCGCACTCATTATGTTAAATATGACAAAACCACAGAACATATCACCTCTAGAAAAGCATCTGCAATGTTATGTACTGGTTATGAATTACAGCGACATCGTTGACTGAAAACCCAACTAATCGAGCATTCTTGACAAAAAGGCGAATTGATTTTTTTCATATCAAATAATTTTTAATGTTCAACTGCATTTGGCTTGCTGACTCCTTTTAGCTCTTTTCGCCTCATTTTTTTGAAAACTATGACTGGCAGGAAGTTTCCGATGTCGAACATAGTGCAAAAAGAGTTAGTAAGTTAGCGACAGACATGCAGCTATAGGTAGATCGCAAAGTAAATACGAATAATAAATACAAATACGAACGAAACGAGTAAATACAAAAAAATACGAACAAAAATTAGGGTTTTTTTCAACCAAAACTTTTTGAATTTTCACTTAAACGCGCGTGGGGACCATGATTTACAACAACACAATTTAAAAATTCAAATTTTGACTTTTAAAATGACAAAACCAACCAACACAAATCAATGTCCACACCACAGATACCTGTAAATTTCTCTTATCTCCCGACAGTGTCGCCATCGTTGACTAAAAACCTAACTAAAAACCTTCGTCGCGATTCTCCCATTTGAGATATTTTTCTATAGGTGATATGTTCTGTGGACAAAACTTTCCAAAACGTCATATGTCAGCGAGCAACAGAAAAAAACAACATTCTCCTTTGTGGCATCTGTCTTTCATGACTACATCTTTTTGGCAGATATGGCAATGTGTGCGCATTCCAGTTTTTGACTATAGTTCATTGGTACTGATTTACTGAAAAAATGACGTATGGCGTCACCAATACGTCACTAATTTATTACTGTGCTTGCTGTATCCGGGAAAAAGCTACTGTAATTCAAAAGTGGTAGGGTGTTGATTGTTTTGATACGTTCAGAACACTAAAAAATTACGTACTAGGTCACCAATACGTCAAATAATAGTACTGTGCTTGCTGTGTCTGGGAAGTTACTGTAATCCAGTAAAAGTGGTGGGGTCTCAATTGTTTTGTTTGGAGGAGAGGAAATTATGCAACAATTATAACATTGAATGTTGTATTTTTTTGCACAAGGACATAAAAACATTATAATTTATTAGGTGTTATTTTCAATATTTAAGTTAAATGGTATTCCACATTAGTTTGTTTATTTCTTCTATTAAATATTGATATTATAACAACAAAACAAAAAGCTATCACTTTATCTTGTGTTTTATTTCATACTGCTTTGATAGTAGAGTCAAAGAGTGCTAGTAGAGTAGGTAACTTACTTAAACATAATTTAAATTAATAGAGCCATAAAAGTAGACAGTTAAATAATAATTCTATTATTTAATATAGCAAATAACAGTTAAGAAGACAAATATCACTTTTTTGGCTATTTGCACAGCTATAACTTTTGTTTCTTTCTACAACAGTCTCATTCAAAGCTCCAGACTAAAATATCCCTTAAGTTATAGCAGTATTATCTTGTGATTATGCTTGAGAAATAAGGTACATTCAGTAGGTAACTTAATTTAAATTGATTGAGCTATACTAGATATTTCTGGATAATGGGATCAAACTTCTAGGAGAAATAGTACCCATTAAAATAAAATAAAAATTAATTAATAATTAGAAACATCAGCTGCTTTCGGGTGCCACCTTTTTAGCTCTCCCGAGTTACTCCGAAGTACCTACTCCGACTACAGTTTGACGCGTTCGCAAAGCACATGGAGTAACGGGTGTGGAATGTTCAGAGCTTCGCTTCGCACTCTGTTATCTAAACACTCTGGGGGGCTTTATTTGAAATTGATGTAATTTTGCGTACGCGCAAATATGACGCGAATGACGTCAGTTGCGATTGAAAAAGTGCATGTCAAATAAGCTGTGCACCAATTTTCAATCACGAATGACGTCATTGGCGTGTACGCAAAGTTGCATCTTTCAAATAAAGCACCCCTGCACCCGAAAACGGCTATGGGTACGCATATACCTACTTAGGTCCAGTTGTACAATCTTGGTTCAAAACAGAGTTCAGCTAAACTCGACTGGTACTTGAACTTTCCCATTTGAAATGCGTTGCTGTCAAAATTGATAGAATTTGATTATTGGCTGACAGCAATGTATTTTAAATGGGAAAGCTCAAGTACCAGTCGAGTTTAGTTAAACTTTGTTTTGAACCGAGATTGTACAACTGGGCCTTAGTTTTTGACATAAAGGCTGTTAAAGTTTGAAAAAGAAAAGTTTTTCACTGAGGTTTATTAGCTCAAAAATCTCTTTCCAGATTTTTTTTAAACTTGGAAGGTTTGTTTGTAATAACAAAACAAAAGATATCTTTGGACTAAATTAGATTTTATGTAATTAGTAATTATTCTAGTGACCTTCAGAGGCCAGGGCAACTACGTTAGTAAAAGCATTGGCGTTAAAGGCGTTAAAGGCGGTAAAGACACTTTCCGCATGTGTTAGGTACGAAATTTTACCTATGAGCATCTATACATCTGCAAAAAAAGGCATTAATAAAATCAATTAATGAATCAGATAAATTAATGAAATTAGATTAGATATAGAAATGATCAAAAATCCATTTTTTGAAAAAGAAAGGAGTTTCAATCATAAATACCAAAGTCTACTTTACCGCATACTATGCGGTAAAATTAACTTTACCGCACACTTTGCAGCCACTTTACCGCATACCCTAATAACACAGAACGTTTAGAAAACGTACGAATTAGATACAAATAAGGTCCGAACGTCCCGGACCTAAATACCATGTTTTAAGAACGTTTTTTAGGAACGTTCTAGAAACATTTCCTTTAACCATCCAGAAAACGTTTTCAATGGACAAGTTTGATAGCATTTTCCTCAATTATGTTCTAAATACGTTGTAAAACTGTTTGTTTAAACAAGCAAAAAACGTTTTTTTATGGACCAGTTTCATAGAATATTGGCACTTTCTAACATCCCATCACGAGCTAAATTTTTTTAAGCTTTCTCCACGTTCATAATATTGTTTATTATTTTTTTAAGATAAATATAAATAAAAAAAAAACAAGTCTTGTTCCAGACGTGCGCATGCGTATTGCTTGTCAAATTCTCATAGCGGGCACGTGAACGCACCCAGTCTAGTGCACAAATGAACGCATCCCTCTAGATAGACCAATGAAGATAGACATAACACATAACCTCAAACGTGAAGTGAAGTGACATCGTGACATCGTTTTCGGCAGTGACTTGCTTATTTTGCTTAGAATTTCTAAAATTTCTGTGTTTTTTAAGTTTTTCTGTGTGAAATTGTGTGATCAGAAGTTCAGAACTATAAAAAGGTAAGAAAATACCATGAGTGCCTCTGCTTTCAAAAGAATAATCTCGGATAAGTATTATCGAAGACACAAAAGGCTTTATTCAAAATTTGAAAGTCGAACCATACCCTGTGCTTTTTATGATGCCAGCAGGGCCCCTTCTGGTTCTTCTGAAATAACCGATCATCCACAACCTTACCCCGCATACACAAACGACGAAAGTTTTAATTCAGGCATTGATACTGATTCGAGTACTGATTATGCCTCGGATTCAGGTGAAACTGAAGGGCTTGTAAATTTTTCTCCCATATCCAAACCGATGCCTGAACCGACATGTGAACCTGAGTCTTTTTCAAATAAGTTGGCAAAATGGGCATTGCAATTCAATATTGCTCACAATGCCCTAGGAGATTTGCTGCGCTTGTTGATAGAACAGGGCATCGAAATGCCAAAAGATCCTCGAACCCTTTTGAAAACTCCAAGAGAAACTGATGGTTCGATTTTGTCAGTTGTAGAACCAGGCCATTACATTCATTTTGGTTTCCAAAAAAGCCTTTTGAAGCTATTGAATGTATTTAACAGAAAAAATAGCAAACATTTTGAATATAATACAATAAGACTTTGTGTTAATATTGATGGTCTGCCAATTTCGAAAAGTTCTGGCAATCAAATTTGGCCTATTATGATTAATATTATGGATAATAAGGATTATGTTGAAATTGTAGGAATTTATCAAGGAAATGCAAAACCATCTGATTCAAATAGTTTTTTAAACGAATTTGTGGATGAAGCAAATGATATTTTAGCCAATGGGCTGATATATTTGAACAAGACATACACCACTAAGCTTTTGTTTGTTTGTGACGTACCTGCAAAATCTTTCATCAAATGTACTAGAGGCCACAGTGGGTATATGTCTTGTTCAAAGTGTAATGTCGAAGGCGTTTTTCAATCTGGTAGGGTCTGTTTTCCTGAATTTTTGAACTTTCAATTAAGGACAGATCAAAGTTTTAGAATTAAGGAGCAAGAAAATCATCATACAGGTACATCAGTACTAGAAAAATTACAAGGTTTAAATTTAATTGATGATTTTCCATTAGACTACATGCACCTTGTCTGTCTTGGTGTTGTCAAGAAGTTAATTGTTAATTTATGGATCTCTGGAAAACCTCCATACAAGTGGTCAAGTCACCAGTTACAAAAAATTTCTTCCTTGCATGAAAATCTTGAAAAACAAATGCCACGAGAATTTACTCGAAAACCCAGAACGCTTAATGAAGCGAGACGCTGGAAAGCAACAGAATTCAGGATGTTTTTGTTCTATACTGGGCCACTTGTATTGAGAGGCAATGTTTCAGAAGAAGTTTATGTCAATTTTACATGTTTGCATATTGCAATGATTCTATTATCTCGATGTCAAGAAATTGAATATGCAAATCAACTTTTGGTATATTTTGTTAGAACTTTCATCCACCTATATGGAATTGAAAATGTCTCACATAATGTACACAATCTATTGCATATTTCCACTGATGTTTCCAAATTTGGCAGTTTTGAAGACTTTAGTGCTTTTCCCTTTGAAAACAACATGATATTTTTAAAAAAAATGCTTCGGAAATCTAACCAGCCACTGCAACAAATTACTAACAGATTGAAAGAGCGTGAGCAATTTTTAAACAATCAATTCAAATTTGAAGCCAAAGCATTTCCACAACTGAAGTCAGAACATTTTGAGGGACCACTTTTAGATTTCATGACAGTAAGACAGTTTAAACATGTTTCGCTAGGCAAATTTTGTCTAAGCATAAATGAATCTGACAATTGTTGTTTTCTTAGGGACGAGACAATTGTTGTTATTGAAAATATTACTGAAATTGATAAAAGCATAAAAATAATTGGCAAAAAATTTCTAAAACTTGAAAATTTATATACTTCTCCTTGTGAATCTTCAGATGTGAATATATTTTTATGTAGTAATCTTGGAAATCATCAATCCTGGAATATTTCAGATGTAAAACATAAAGGTGTCAAATTGAAATACAATGATAAATATGTGGTATATCCACTATTACATTCCATTGGTATCTGATTTTTGTTGTCAAGCTAAGAATGTTTTTTTTTTCACAAGTTTTTTTCATATTTTCATATATAATATCCTTGAGAACTTCATTCATCTGTCAAAACCAGGTTAGAACTGTTATTCCAGCAATAAAATGACATGTTTTGATTGTTAACTTCAACCAATCAAATTGGAATTACGTGATAATTTGCACTAGTGCAAATTATCGGGTAATTGCATAAAGTAACTGGTGATTTGACATTTTTTGACAAAAAAATTGGATTTTTGATTCATGAAATTCTCTCATAAAATACAACTCTTGAATATATGTACCTATTATACAGTAATGGATCATAAATCAAAGACTTGGACAGTAGTCCATTTCGACGATGATGATACAGTCGAGGCAGTACCTAGCATTTGGATTCATGGGGATCAGTGCCTATGGCCTCCATACAACCATGATAAGCTGCAAAAAGCTATTCAAAACGGGGAAATGAATAGCCCACTGGCCCTCCCATAAAATCACTTTATTCAAAGATGCAAGATTTCGTAAGTGACAAAGTTTTTCTAAGAGCTAAGTGGTGCATGCGTTTTGTTTAGGTTTTTTTTCTAAAGCAAAATTTGGGCATATTCCCCTTTTAATTTAAATATTTTTTTATAATTCATTTTAGGTGATTATTCGACTGCTAGGTCTAAAGCTCGAAAGGCAGAAGTCACCAGTGATCTAAATTCAGATGATGGCAAAAATAAGAGGCAAAGGAAAAAAAAGTTTATGAGCTCCTCTGAATCCGAGTCAGAAGACAATAGGGTTTTATCACAATTTCGGAAGAAGCTACCAACTCCTCCAAAAAAAAAGTCACGGCTTTCTTTGGAGGTTTCAAGACCAACTTCGAACACTTTGACTTTGGTAGATGCCAATGTAACCACTGAAATTAGTGAAAGTAAGTTTTAAGCACAAAGGAAAATAGTAATTTCCACAAATTAGTCTATGGATATATTTTCTTTATTTTTATTTTTTCATTATAGGCCAACCTCGAGGTCAACCTAGTGCAACATCGTCTTCGAACTCAAGTTGTAACAATTTGTGCACACATTGCTGCACAAAAAATTCCAAGAACAAAGATAACAAGACGACTCTCTTTGTTATTAAAGATATATGTTGTGATATTTTAGCTAAAGTTGAAAAATTACAGACTTCAGAACCTGTAAATCCAATTCCTGGAAACCTGTTAAATCAGGTTGGCATTGATTTTCCAATGACTACAATGGAGGAGCTATCCATATTTGAAGAGTTTTTTAAAAATGAAGAAAAATATACTGTCCTGGTAATAAGAGTTTTTAATTTGTTTGTATTTATTTTAAATTGAAAAAACAAACTTTAAGGTCCGGATGTTCTCAAAGATGGGTGGCTCCACAACTGGAGATTTTATAAGAAGGTGTTTGGCACCCATAATTTCAAACGAATTAGCAATGAAGTTTAGTTTCATTGGAAGAAAAGGAAAGGAAAATTTAGTGTTATCTGCCTATCCAAGGCAATTGTAGGTAAGTTTGATGGAATTTTTTAATTAGCAGTTTATTGCAGTACGTTTTAGAATTAAAATAAAATGATTTGAAGCGTATATGATTATATAAATAATTACACATCGATTAACTTTCAGAAGCAGCAGATAAGATGCCATTCATTAAAGACAAAAAAGAAACAGAATCTGCCATAGGATCTTGGCTGAAACGTGGTAAAGCTAGACTAGAACACAGCGAAAAAAATAAATAATTTTTTTTACGTCATATCATTTATATCAGAATTATAGTTTTCAGTTCCTTCTAAACCAAATAAAATGAAGATTAAGATTTAGTTTTCCTGTACATACTACATATATAGGTACTGTACTTTACTTATATTTTTCTATTTATATTATGTACTTCAATTTGTTTATTCTATATGTAGGTACATATGTACGCATATTTTAGTGCATCTATATTATTGAATTTTCTGTAGAATCTCAGTTTTTAGTTCCTTTTATAAACCAAACGAAATGAATTTGTATTTAGTTTTTTTGTATATACTTTTGTCAAGATCTAATGGAATTATATATATGTAATTATATTTTCTTAACTTCCAAATTGTTTTTTTTTTATATGTATCCACATAGGTACAGTTAGATAAACTATGCCTGTGTTCAATTTGTACGATATTCATATAAATAACATTTAGCATACATAAGGACCAATTTAACAGTGGTCGGTTATTTAGTTTAGCTGTTGGTTAACTAATGATAATTATTAGGTAACCGACAGCTAAACTAAATATCCCTCCACTGATAAACCGGTCCTAAGAGAGCTGAAGAAAAGAGGTTTTTAAAACGTTTTAAATACACAAAAAAAACGTTTTTTGTATGTCCAATCAACGATTAGCAAACGTATGGAAAAACTGAAATAAAAGCGTTTTTAAAACGTTTTATACACATACAAAAACGTTTTTTGTATGTCCCAATTAACGTTTAGCAAACGTCTGATAAAACTAAAAAAGTAAGGTTTTTAAAACGTTTTATATACATAAAAAAACGTTCTAAGTATGTCCCAAAAAACGTTTAGGAAACATTTTTTTTGCCGACACAAAACTTTCCCAGAACGTTTAGAAAACGTTCGTGAACGTTCAGGACGTTTTAAGTACGTTTACTAAAACCTAAGTAGACGTTTTGAAAACGTTTATAATACGTATCTGTGTTATTAGGGTACTATGCGGTAAAGTGAACTTTACCTCACGCTCGTAGGTAAAATTATTTATGGAGAAAGTTTGAAAAAGGGAAACGAAAAATATAAAATAATCATGTTGTTGGGTTAGGTCAACTTTGTCGCCGGTCAAATGTCAATAATTACTGGAATTCGTTCCAAAATTAACCACTAATACAGCGGCTGGTTGAAAAAGAAACGACAAATACAGTAAAAACCGCACAGCGAAAATTCAGTACTGCCAGTTAAAAAAAGAACACAGCCTAAGCTTGACAGTTTCCACATGTTTCCAGTTTCCACATGTCACTCCTACGCATAGCGATATGACAAATTTGTATCGATATGCTCCATCATCGCGGACGTATTGATATATAGTACACAGGGTGGAATTTTTAAATGGAATAAATTCGTTATCAGAAAGCCTGTTTATTTTCTGGAAAAATAAAAAAACACGGGTCCCTTTATTTTTAGTTTGGCAAATTTTGTCGGCCTTTTCATGGAATTTACCCCTCTCTTAAGGGTAGAAACCACCCCCAACTTTTTTTTTTCAAATGCAAAGATATGTATTGTGATAGCTCGTTGGAATGGGCATAAAAAAGGAATATGATCCAGACAAATTTTTCAACACAATTTTTTTACAGTTAAAATTGTGCCAGCATTTCTTCTTGGTAAAACCCTAATGCGAGATAAGCCCCATTTGTAACGTAATTATTTCTGACGTTAACACACAATTTGATGCCTGATACTCGATTCTCAACCCTAAAATCGAAAACATGAAGAATTAGGTATAGGCAAAGTATATACATAGGTAGTCTGAAATATAAATTTATCAACTTTTTAAATCCGTATTATTAGGTATACAGGGGTTCCATTAAAAAAAAAAATCTGGCATTTTTGTAAGTTACCGACAAAAATTAATTTCCGGTTTCCGGACCATCCTGTATACTTGAACTAAGATGTGAGCGAAAGATCAAAAAATGCCTAGAGGGATAACCTTAACATTACAGTTGAAAATTGTTTTATAGGAGGCAGATATTATTGGAAGTCCAGGTTTTCGTTAAAAAAAAATTGAAATTAATATATTCCCGAAAAACGGCGACAGATAGGTATAGGGAAGTATTAGGAAAAGTTGCTCAAAATTATATACCGAATTCGAAAATTTAGAAATATACAGGGTGTTCCATTGAAAATAGGGATGTTGCCACCGGCTTAGGGTAGAAGTGGCAACACAGCATGATGGTCAAGGATATTTTTAAAGTGTAGATCATGGTCGTTTATCCAGGTTGCCAAATTTTCAAAATGATCCCCTTTTTAGTTTTAGTATGATTACACGTTTAATTTTTTTTTTAAATTTTAAAATACAGGGTGTCCCAGCCGAGAGTGACCCATTCTAAATGCTTATAACTTTTAAACCAGGTGAGCTAGCTAACTGCGGTTTATGCCATTCGATTTCTCTTGGTCTAAAGTTTTTTCTAGTAGGTTTCAAATTTTTCTAAAACTTATACAGGGCGAGTAAAAAAAAATCCGTTTTCCAACACCGAAATTCTCCACTATTTTCCATGGAACGCCCTGTATATCGCAACGTCCAAAAAATAGATTCATGTTTAAAACTTTAGACCAAGAGAATTCGAATGGCACAAACCGCAAGTAGCTAGCTCACCTGGTTTAAAAGTTATAAGCATTTAAAATGGGTCACTCTCGGCTTGGACACCCTGTATTGCTATTATCGCGAGGGTTCGTACGCTAGCTATAAAAAGTGGTGCGCTAGCCTGCGCTAGGTGTCCTTATTCTGCGCTAGCATTTTGAGCAAGAAAAATTAACTGGGGGGGCTAGCGTTAATCTGCCCCCCCCCCCCCCCCCCCGATTTCATCCCCTGGTATTACCACAGGGGTTGGTGCGCTAGCTCTCAAAAGTTGTGCGCTAGCCTGCGCTAGGTGTCCTCATTCTGCGCTAGCATTTTGAGACAAAAATCTTAACTGGGGGGGGGGCTAGCGTTAATCTGGCCCCCCCCGATCGCATCCCCTGCTACTTCCGCGGGGGTCGGTGCGCTAGCTTTTAAAAGTGGTGCGCTAGCCTGCGCTAGCTATCCTCTATCTGCGCTAGCTTTTTGAGCAAAAAAATTAAACTGGGGGGGGGGGGCCAGCTTAACTGAGCCTATTTTGAGAAGTAACACAGTCCATGAGATCACCTCCTTTCATAAAAGACAGCTGCAGTGGAAGTGTTGCAACACCAAGTAACCTAGTGTTATCATTATCATCCTCAAATAAACACAAATATGCGCGCTGGGGTATTTTGAGAAGTATCATACTGCATAAGATTAGCTCATTTTGCAAAAGGCAGCTGCAGTGAAATGATGCAATACCCAACAACCCAGGTATTATCATTATAATTCCCAAGTAAACACAGACATGCGTAGTAAGTATTTTGAGGAGAAGTTACACACTTCAAAAGGTCAACTTCTTTTACAGAAGAAAGCGGCCGTGAAAGTGTTGTAATACTCAACTACCCAATTATTATCACTATCAACCCCAAGTACATGTTCACTGAGATATTTTGAAAACTATCACAATTTACAAGATTAACTCCTTCTACAAAAGAGATCTCCAGTGGAATATTGCAATGTCTAACAATCAATGTCTTATCATTATCATCCTCAAATAAATACGAACATATGCACTGGGATGTTTTGAGAAGTATCACAATTTACAAGATCACCTCCTTTTAGAAAAAAGAGCTGCAGTGGAAGGATTGCAATACCCAACAACCCAAAAAGTATCATTATCATTGGTGGGACTGCTCACAGGACACTGCCCAGTAAAATACCATCTAAGGTTAATGGGCAGAGCGGAAGACAATCTCTGCAGATTCTTCTCAGACACAAAAGAGACCGCAGAGCACCTGCTCTGCGAATGTCCAGCCCAATTCTGCAAGAGGCTCAAATTCCTCGAGGGGGCAACACTGTCACCAGAAGAAGTGGGCCAACTAACACCCAGGAAAATAGCTTCCTTCGGCAGAAGTCTACGCTTCCTGGAGACAATTTGAGATGTAGAGTCATGTACAAAATATCTGCAAAGGTAGCAGTGCTGAGCGGCTGAAAAGCCGAAACGACTCCCCCGCAATCTACAATCGTTATCATCCCCAAATAAATACAAACATTTGCATTAGGATATTTTGAGAAGTATCACATTTCATAAGATTACCTCCTTTCAATAAAGGAAGCTATAGTGAAAGGGTGCAATACTTAACAACACGAACATGTGCGAACAGAAGTATCACACTTGATTAGAATAACTTTTTTGACAAGAGAGCTTTAGTACTCAACAACCCAGGTATTATCCTTACCCTGCTCAAGTAAACACAGACATGTGTACTGGGTGTTTTCAGAAGTAACACACTCTAAAAGGTCAAATCCTTACACAAAGGAGAGCTGCAGTGTGAGGGTTGTACTCGGATATTTCTAGAAGTACCATACTTCATAAGATTAATTACTTTTGCAAAAGGGAGCTGCAATGAAAGGCTGCAATACCCAACAACCCAAGTTTTATCATAATCATTCTTGAGTAAACACAGACATGTAATAATTGTTTTGAAAAGTAGGTAACACACTTCAAAAGATCAACTTCTTTCACAAAAGAGAGCTGCAGTGGAAGCGTTGCAACACCTAGCAACCCAGGTCTTATCATCCTCAAGTAAACACAAACATGTTTCCTGGGATGTTTTGAGAAGTCACCATATATTAAGGATAAACTTCTTTCAGAAAGCAGTGTTGCATCGGAAATATAATAATACCCAAAAAACTTATAAAGGAAGAGCATGTAAAAATATGCGTTTTATCTGCCGGTAACCAAAAATACTAGTTTTTCTTATTGGAGCCAGCGATAAACTTACTCTGAATAAAGATATTCTCATTGTTCTTTCTGCGTTGAAATAGAAAAAAAATGCAAAACTGCAGAAAAGAAAATTGGATTCTTTTCAGGAATTGAAGCTTGTCACACCCCAAATATGTATTGCCGAAAGGAAAAAAAAGCATCACACTTTACAAGCTGAACCTCTTTTACAAAAGACATCTGCAGTGGAAGGGTTGCAATATCTAGCAACCCAGGTCCTATCACTATCATCCTAAAGTAAACACGAACTTGTGCGAACAGTAGTATCACACTTCATTAGATTAGCTTTTTTACAAAAGAGAGCTTCAATACTCAACAACCCAGGTATTATCCTTTCCCTGGTTAAATAAACACAGAAATGTGTACTGGGTGTTTTCAGAAGTAACACACTCCAAAACGTCAACTC